GGGCTATGGGGACACCGGGTCCCAATGGGGAGAGGGGCACAGGGCCCACATGGGGGTCACAGGCTCCCCAGGGAGCAGGTCCCCTGGGGCCCACGGCCTTGGGCCCGCCACGGCGAAGGCAGCAGGAGGTTGGAGGCTCTTTGCCCCGCGCCCGGGGTGGCTCCGTGCCCGGTAGCCGCCGCGGTGGCCCCCGGGGCATCCCGCAGCCGTGACTCACGCAGGTGTCACCTGGGCGCCCGGCCCGGGGTGGCGCGGGCCTCCCTGCACGGGTGACTCACGGTCCCTGCGGAGAACGCGGCGTGAGATTGTGGCAGCGTCGACCCCGCACTCGGCACTGGAGGCGATGGATGGACGGAGGATCCCATAGGAAAATGGTCCTTCCTCCCACCAGGCAATTTTCCACCCCTGCTGCGCCCACACAGAGCCAGGTCCTTGGGACACCACGTGTGCCCAAGGGACACCCTGAGACACGGCGGCTTGTCCAGGACAGGAGGGAGCACTGGGAGACGAAGAGGGAAAGGGAGGTTTGGTCCCGCTTCACCCCCCGCCCTGCGGCACAGCAAGTTCCGGAAAATGGGATAGTCTTCCAGTCTCCATGAGGAGCTGTGCACACATCCAGGTGAGTCACGGCATCAGCCTCCCACACCCGCTGCAGCTGCCTGAGAGCCCTCAGGGTGAGACTCGAACGCTTGAGAAAAAGAGGAGTGACAAGCGGAAAGGCTCCAATTTTGCTGCCTTTGCTAATTTCTATCTATTGGGTGCACAAAAGATTTCCTGCTGCGGGGCGGTTGATCAGACAGCTCTTGCGAGTGCAGACTGCAAACAATGTGCGCTGTGTCCCCATCGCGACGCTCCCGTGTGATGACAAGGCAGAATGATTTTTGTGGGGAAGGGCTCTGTCCCTTGTCATTCAAATGCCATTTCTGTGCCAGATTGCAGCAGGATTTGCTAACTCTACGGAAAGCTGCCAAACTTATCACCATCTCTGAAAAAAAAACCAGTCACATTTTCCAGAATGCAAAACATTTTATTAAAAAAATAATTTACTGTCTCTTATATACAAACCACAAGAACATTCACTTATAAAATACTGACATCTGAACTCGTCATGAAAGCTGTGGGCAGAAGGAGCGAGTTTTCCGGACGTGCTACATGTGCAGCCAGCTGTAACTCAAGGAAGGAATGTTTTGTCCTACCACTAAAATAGCTCTGCTTCTTTTCGCAGTGTGTGCAGTGGGTCACTTGTTGTCATGCCAATGGAGTTAAGATGACAGCCAAGCCACCCTCAAATTCGTGAAAAGCACCTAGTATAAAAGATGAAGGTAAGATGAAGTCCCTGCTGTTCAGGCAGCACTATGGGCAATAGATTTGGCTACTCTTAAGTAATTCATTGATCTGAGAGAAATCCTGTTGAATTTTTGGCAATACCCAGATCAGTGATTCCTCAGCATACCTGAACACCGCAGAATGAGGCAGTTGGTTGCGACCAAACCTCGCCCCGTTGAAGCTAACATTGATTTCAGCGGGGCCGGGTATTCCCTGCGTGAGCAGGGACAGAGGGACGCGGCCCCGCGCCGCCTCCCAGGCTGCTGCCTGTGCAGGCAGCCGAGCGGCGCTCGCTGCACAGCAGGAGACACCCGACACGCAGCCACGCGACACCCTGCAACAGGCGACGGCCGCTGTGAACATCCGCGGGACCCACGCGATTTGTCTGCGTGTTCCGCAGCCCGGCTGAAGGTTACAGCCACCCGCGAGCTGTTCCTCACGCCTCCAACACACGTGATTCTCCGCAGCGCCCGGAGCGCCTGTCCCAATCCCGCTCCCAGAATTTGCCGCCCTGGGATGCTCGCGACAGGTCGCAGGTGTCGTGCGCGGAGCTGCGGCCGCTCAGAGCGGCCCGCGCGACGCCGGAGCCGCCTGCCAGCTCGTTATCTCGTAGAACATCTCGGCGATGAGCTCGACGATGTCCGCGTTGCCAATGACCGGCCTGAAGAAGAGGTCCGTGATGAGGGCGGGAGGGATCGATTTCAAGGAGGAAGCGATCAGCAAGGTGCGGGCAAAGCGGCCCTGGTCCTCGGGGTGCAGGGGCCGCAGCACTTCCTGCAGCGCTCGCTGCGCTTCCCGCTGGAGGCTCTCGATGTACAGGGAAGCCCTCAGCCCTGGGACATCTGCGGAGGGAAAGGAGGGGAAAACAGTGAGGAGAGAGGCTGGAAAACAGCTCGAGAGAGGCTGGAAAACAGCTCTTGTTTTCTCCTGTTCTCTGCCCTCCAGTTGTCTCTGCAGGGATGTGCAGGATGCAGGGATAACGAGCGCTGTGCTCATTAGATGCTGCCCTGCTGAGCACTTTGGGGCTGCTGAGCAGCAGGGGAAACCCAGACCCGTCAAAATAAATCCCGAGGCTGCTTCTGTGCTCCGGATCTTATCTCCACATCCAACATCCCTCCTCCCCAGCTCCCAGCAGTATTAGGCAATTACAGGTATCCGTGATAAGATAACCAGCGCTGCTCTCCTGTGCACACTCCTGCCCGTGCTCCAAACCACTCCAAATCGGGACATGGATTTTGAGGTGCTCACGCACGCGGGGCCTTCTCTCCCCATGGAGAGGGCTTCGGCACTCACCAGGATTGAAGAGGATGGCGCCCTTCAGGTAGGCGTACTCCTTGGGGCTCAGGTCCAGGCTCCAGAAGGTGTGGAGGCAGCACTGCAGCCGCTGCACCGCCGCCAGCGTGGGCTGCGTCCTCTCGGGCTCCTGCTGCTTGCTCTGACCGTCGAGAAGGATCTTCTTGAGCATGCTGGGCGCCGGCGTCTCCATCACGTCGAAGGCCACCCTCTCCTGCGCCAGCCCCAGCAGGAAGAGCGGGGCCCAGCAGCTGTCCAGCAGCAGGAGCTGGTCGTCGCGCGGCAGCAGCTGGAAGGAGGGCAGGTTTCTCATGAAGCGGACGGTTTTCACGAGCACGTCGGAGGCCGCCTGGCAGGTGGCGTGGGGCGTGCGGAGGCGGACGGTGCGGCGCTGGTGGCACAGGCAGCGCTGCTGGGCCGGCCCGCAGCTCCCGCCGCCCTGGCCCAGGTCCTGGCTCAGGAGGCTGTACAGGATGGCGGTGCGGGTGTCCTCGCAGTGGCACTGGCACTGCTTGCACGCCACGTCCACGCCGCTGCTCGTCATGGCCGGGGTGGGCGTCCGGAGCCTGGGCAAAATTCAGCTCCTGCTGCTGCTGCAGAGGGAGGAAATCCACAAAGCGCAAGGACACGTCGTCCCCCTCACGCTGTCCGGGCGCCGCTTGTCCTCCCAGCCCACAGCTGTTGGAACCAGCCCTTATAAAGCCCGGCGGGTGAAACACCCCTCCCAGCCTTGACCGCCAGTGATTAAGCGGTCCTCATTAAAACAAAACACCAAACCCCCCAGGCGGCCGTCCCGGGCTGATTGGCTGCGGCGAGCGCCTTCCCCGCGCGGAGTCAATGGCCGTTTTCTCAATGAAGCGCCCGCCGGGTTGGGCGGCCCTTATCGCGGCCCCAGCAGTATAAACAGAGCCATTAACCCGGGCGGTACCACGGCACCAAGGCCCCGCCGCGTCACGGGGCAGCGCGAGCTGGCGGGCGCCGCTGCCAACAGCCTCCACACACACACAGGGCCCTTGTGCGGCGCGCGGCCGGCTCCGGCCTTGGAGCAGCGACCTGGAAGTCGCGTTATCGGCGCCTGTTTGCCTAACCTTGCTCCCAACGGACTCTCGCTGGCGCCGGCGCGGAGCAGAAACCCCGTGAACCCCCGGCAAGGGCCGCGGTGCCCAGCACGCCGCAGAGGCAGCCCAGGGCGCAAGGGACGTGTTGGACGGGGCCCTTTTCTTGCGTCTCCCTCTTTCTTTTCCAGGTGTGTTTATGCCGCCATGGGCGCAATTCGGGACGCGAAGGCCCTGGCTCCTTGGGCACCCTGGCTCACGGCACCACTAGGCCCAAGGCGGGAGGGCGCGGGCCGTGACCCCGGCGGGACCCCCGCCCTTTGACCCCGGGGCGGCGCCGCCGCTTTCCCGCCTCACGGAGCCTTCTGGAAAGGCCGCGGCCGTCGCCATGGCAACCCAGTCACGCGCCGCCGGCTCCCGCCTCCCTGCGGCCCCATTGGTCGTCGCGGCAGCCAATGGGCGAAGACAGCGGTGCTCTGCGGGCGCTCGGGATTGGCGGAGAGGGAAAGGGAGGAGGACTGCGAGCCGGGTGCGCGGTTTGTGCGCGCCTTCCGCCCGCGTCGTTTCCGCTTCCGGGCGCCGGCGTGAGCGGGGTGTGAGGCGGCCGTTGGGGACCGTTGGGGACCGTTGGGGACCGTTGGGGACCGTTGGGGGCGGCGCCGGCACCATGGGGCTGAGCGCGGAGGAGGCGGCGGAGCAGGAGGACCGCTTCGACGCCATGCTGCTGGCCATGGCGCAGCAGCACCAGGGCGGCGTGCGCGAGGTAGCGCCGCCGCGGCCGGGCCTCAGCGCCGGGGTCCCCGGGAAGCGGGGCGGGGGGGCGCGGCTCTCCGTGTGGGTGTGTGTGTGGGGGGGGTCCTCACACCGCTCGGGAAGGGCTCTGATGGCTAGCGGCAGTAATTCCCACTGTAGTGGTGGTTGTGATTGAAATACTGACAAAAACTCCGTTCCTGGCAAAAGGCGAAAGACAAACCGGCCTGCCGGGGCTGTCCGTTCCGTGCAGGTGTATCCTGGCCTGCCGCTTCCTAGCTCCTCAGCAGCACAGGGCAGGTGGCACTGTTCTGTCCCATGCACCATAGCACAGGCTGTTGCTTTGAGGCAGCTGAGCGCAAACATGATGATTCTTTGTAAAAACAAACACTACACAGGCTGAGGGAGGTGGGTTTGCAAGCTCTTAAGGGCAGCCAAGTAAGTGGAATATGGTATATGTGTGTATATACATACATGTGTCTATTAAAAGAAAATACCTGACTTCCAATGGCACTTGGGTCTAAGGAGCAGTCCAGGATTTCAAAGCTGCTGCAGCTCTAGGGGCAGATGACCTGAGAATGAACCGCTCACCCTTTCTTCATGTAAGACACAAATGCCTTTTCTGAAAATGGGCAAAACCTAAGCTAGCAAAAGCTCTTAATTGTTTTGCTGGGAACCAGTCATGGGTTTGATTTTTATATGATCCTAACGCAGGCATGGATGGAAAGGAGGAGGAAGAGTAAAGACAGCTGAGGGGACAAGAAATGACTGGGACCTGGTCTCACTGCTCTCTTCTTTGCCTTCTCTCTTTTTACCCCCAAACCCTGCCCTTCCTCCCCAAGCTGGTGAACACATTCTTTAGTTTCCTGAGGCGCAAAACTGATTTCTTCACTGGAGGAGAAGATGGAGTAGCAGAAAAGGTAAGAGGAAAAAAAAAAAAACCCTCAAGCTTTTATATTCTTTAGTTAACCTACTAACCGTATCTGTGCCGTGCTAAGATTTGCCTTGCTGAACAGCTCAGAGCTCTCAGTGCACCCGGAGATTAGTAGTCTGTGATGCTGATGAAATACACCCCTGAAACAAGGTAATAATAAGGTGCCCCTATCTGAGGTGAGGCGTGATTGCTCGCTTGAGTGATACAGATGGTGCAGGTTTTTGCCACGCTCTGGCCAAAGGCCTGTTTGAAAAGCAAATCTGCCAGACACTCTGACTTAACGGTGACAGACACTGCGGCTGTGATAACCCCAGGTTACCTTGTTTGTTCATCGCACAAAAATTACAAAGTCCACATCCCTGCACATGCGGCTGCCCCTTCGTCTCCGTGCTGCCCTGTTTGTGCGGGCCGAACGTGCCAGGCAGCAAACTCGAGGGTTGAGGCTGCCTTGTTGGCCCTAGAGACGTAATACCCATTCCTGGCCTGGCTTAAGGGTTTTAAAACTAATTAGTTTCACTGTAGTGGAATAAGAACCAGAGCTTTACAACCTCAGATAGGCGATTTCCTGAAGCTTGCTTGCTTTTACTTACAGGTGTAGCAGCCATTCCCCTTTCTTTCAAATTATTGACTCCTTTGGGTGTTTGTCCAGTGCCCCTCACCTGCCCTCCCATCTTCCAAGCTGAGAGTTGTTACGGCAGGTCTTGCCAGGAAGCCAGGATTTGTTGGGGTGCTGATGCTTTTTAGATCCTAGGGAGGCTAGGGATGGGAAGGGGAATGGTTTCAAAGTAAGAATGGGATGAAGTCAGCTGCTATTGTCCTTAGACTAATGAGCCAATCTTCCAAGTTCCTGAGGGCCATATACCCCTAGGGAATGAAAACCTAAGTAGCAAAATGTTTTAGTAGAATGTCTGTAGTTAGTGCTGATAAATGTGCTTGGGAGTCCTGGCTACTGTTGGTGCAAATAACTTTCCAGATCTACATCTTATTGTGCTCCCTATAAAAGTGTCAGTGTCCTCTGAAAATACTCTATGGTCCTCTGAAAAAGTGCTGAATACAACGGGTCTCTTAACTTGCCTCTGACACACTAGTAACCACAGCAAAGTAGGAAGTTTCTCTCCCCGGCTCTAGTCATCCTTTGATATTAAAGAGATAAAAAAGAAGAGATGGAGAGAAAGGATCTCTTATGTGGTGCTGTTTCAAAAGCCTTCTTGGTGTAGAATGATGGGGTGATGTAAGCTGTTGAGGGAAACACAGCCTGTGCTCACACTGACCCGCTCGGACCGCTTGAACAGCTTTTACTGACTGTGCATTGTCCCGCAGCTAGGAACAGGCTGGGAGATCTAGCTCTTGATTTCAGTATCCTAGGAGACACTACGCTCAAGTTGTGTAAATAAATCTGGCTTTCCTTTGTAAAAGCAAAGCAGGAATAATTGGTGCTTGTTTCCAAAACTACCCAAGGCCTGACTGCTCTGAACCTCTTTAGAAAAGTGCCAATTCCTCTCCCAAGTTCCTAGAATAAATAAAAGCCGGGGCCCAAAACCCTTGTCTGAAAATTCACTCCACTTTGGTTTCTGTTCTCAACTTCTGTCTGTATGGTTTTGTGGAACAGAACCTAGATCTCCTACGTGCTGCTCTGCACAGTTCTCTGCATTACCGACCGTGGGGTAATTGCTCTGGCTTCCTGCCTGTGTCCATGGCTTTCCCTCTGAGCAGTGGAGCCGTTGGCATCAGAGACCCGTTGATTTTCCTCCTCATAGTCACAACAAGACGAGACGGTGGAGATATCTTTGGGGGCAAGATTTATCTAGGAACTGACTCCCAAATAATTCAATAAGCTCTACAGTATTTCTCCTGTGAGTCGTGACAGCAGGGTTAAAGTAATACCCAGCTCTTTCATTCCCTGCCATTAGCTGTTACAGAAGGAGCAAAATTTCAAGGACCTTTCTAATCTCTTTAGGGTAAAGGTCTTGTCCTTGTGCTATTTTGTAATCTAAATATTAATTTGAGAAGAATCTCCCTCTCATGCCTGGGAAAAGCCCAGATGTGGAGTGGGCTTTACGCTTTACACTGTTACACTTCATCTGGAGAGCAGACTGTTGCAGTAGCTCGGATTCTTCCCCCTGGAGAGCTTGGAGCGCTTTGAAAATAGTTTTTGCTGCCTTGCAACACTCAGAGAGAGATTAAGAAACACGTCACCTTAAATCTGAAGTGAGCACAGAAATTAGGGTCTAGTGTCTCCTTGCCACCAGCTTTCCTGGCTAGATTAAGCAACTTCTAGTTACTCTTGGGACTGCACACAGTACAGAACAAATGGACAATCTGTTGTTGTTGTTTCTGGAAATCTGCTGCCTGTGTAAAGAACTACTAGGTAGGGCTACATTTTAAATATTTTGACATCTTATCAAACTTTTCAATCAAAAGACTAGGGTGAAAATGAAAAGGAAGGTCATGGCACAGTGTGACTGACAAATGTGTTCATGCTTCTTAGATAGTAGCTGATTCATTTGGGCTTGAAAATGTGATTTTAAAACCCCTTTGTTATGTATTTCTGTTGTTCAGCTGATCACAGATACCTTTAACCATCACAACAAGCTAGCTCAGAAGGAGCGGAAGGAAAAAAAGGCTCGTCAAGAAGCAGAAATGCGTGAAAAGGCAGAGAGAGCTGCGAAACTCGCTAAGGAAGCGAAGCAGGAAGCTAATGAGCCAAGGATTAAGGAGCTTACAGATGAGGAAGCGGAAAGGCTGCAGCAAGAAATCGATCAGGTGAGAGCACTGTTTGACACATGCAGGTACTGTCTGCGTCTGGCTCTCAGGAATCCCAGACCCCGGAGACCAGAGGACTCTCCCCTTAGTCCTTTTGCCCTTCTGCCCTCGGCAGGTCATCTCGTTGTAGCTTGGCCCTCTTCTGCAGTGGTCAGGGAGTGTGAAGACCAAGGAGATTCTCCATTTGCAGTAGAGCTTTCCTGAAACACTGGGTTCCCTCAGTTTGGGGTGTAATTCTGTGCTGAGTTTCTGTAGGTTCAGCTGAAGAGGCTGAGGCCACCTAGCGTCAGGTCAGTAACAGAATGCTAACGCTATCTGAGCATGTTCGTTTTCTTTTTAAACAGAAAAAAGAGGCAAAAGGAGAGATGAACAGTGGCTCGGTGAAATCCGCAGAGGCTGAAGGTGAATCTTCAGATTCCAACAGACAGGTAAAGCTCACCTAGGGACTTTGTATAACGCAGAGGTAAACGCTTCCGGACAACTGTGAGAACTCTTGGCAGCATGAGGGGATACCCTGTCTGTCTTTGAAAATATGCACACAAGATTAGCTTGCCGCCTTTGCTGAGCCCTTGTCATAACACACTTCATTTCCAAAGCCTTCAACATTTTTCCCCCTTTTTTAATCATGTTTTAACATATCTTTCAATTTTGGATGAGGTTTGTGAATGTCAAATACATGCAGTGACTTGACAATCTGATTAAAAACCTAAAACTGTTGTTACATGTGAAGGATATCTGCAAGTTTGAAAGTCTCTTTCTTCGCATTTCAATTGGTTGTTTAGGATTCAGAGGACGAGGAGGAAGATGAGAAGGATAAAGACAAAATTAAGCCCAATTCTGGCAATGGAGCTGACCTTCCAAATTACAGATGGACACAGACCCTTTCAGAACTGGATGTAAGTGCTGCCTTCAATATGAGGAATTCTAGCCGTGAAATATAAGCAGGTGCTGGTAAAAAGAGCACAGCTGATGCACTGTAATAAGTTCTGTTATCTTAGCTGCCCATGTGAAGTGGTTAATAGTTACCAGCAGCATTTCAGTTACAGGGAGCGAGTCTGGTAAGTAAATGGAAGTTTAGGAGCTTTAGCTGATAGTACCTGAATGTTCATCCTGTTTAAACGAGACATTAAAATCTGCTTACCTTTTTATGGTCCCTTTGAGGAACATTGGTCATCCTGTTCCCAAAGCTATGCTTGTATCCTTTTACATCTGCATTACTGTGAGAAATGTTATTTTATGCTCTGTCTCACGCTGGTAAAGCCAAGGCAGTAAATCTTGGAAGAGCAGTGCAAGGGTAAGAAGTGACTTTGCTGCTCTGCTCCTCACATCTGATCTCTCTCTGGTCCAGCTGGCCATCCCTTTCAAGGTGAACTTTAGGTTGAAGGGGAAGGACGTGATTGTGGACATCCAGAGGCGACGCCTCAAAGTTAGCCTGAAAGGGCACCTGCCTGTCATTGATGGAGAGCTTTTCAACGAAGTGAAGGTGGAGGAGAGCTCCTGGTTGATAGAAGATGGCAAAACAGTCACTGTGCACCTGGAAAAGGTAGAACAGGGTGAATCGGGGAGGATTTGGGCTTGTCTGGCAAAAAAACTTTGTTCTGTTTGTTCTGACAGTTAAAAAGCTGACAAACAAGGCTTGATTCCAACACATTTTCACTGTGACTGGAACAAAGTTCCTAGAGCAAGCCAAGAGAGAGTAAAATATTTTTTGCCTCTTCTTTCAGATCAACAAGATGGAATGGTGGAACAAACTAGTCTCCACAGACCCAGAAATCAACACCAAGAAAATAAATCCAGAGAACTCAAAGGTAAAGATTCCCTCTGCTTTACTGAATAGAGCCTTCTCATAAATGTGCTCAACCTAGCTCGTATTCTGCTTTTAGCTCCTTGTTCTACCAGCATGAAAATAATAGTGGGAGTATTGCTGTGTGTGATGTATCGTACAATTCTGAATTTGATAGAAATCCTTGGTTTCAGTTGTCAGACCTGGACAGCGAGACTCGCAGTATGGTGGAAAAGATGATGTATGATCAGCGGCAGAAATCCATGGGCCTCCCCACGTCTGATGAACAGAAGAAGCAAGACATCTTGAAGAAGTACGTAGTCCTAATTGACTTGTGGGCCCTTGTTCTCCCAAACCCCTTTGTGCTTCTTCCTCGGCACAATACGTGACAGTGTGGCTGACCAGGAAATGGGTTTGGCCTTGAGTCCTACTGGTATTCACGTCCACAGTTATATAGTCATGGAATTATTGGCCAACCACTATTGTCTATAAAAGCCAGTGGGGGTAGAAATGGGAAATTCTGGGAACAGCCTACCTTCAGAATTCTCTTAATCTGTTGATTTCAAGTCCAGAAAGCATGTTTGGGGATGGAGGTACCATCTGGACTGAACTTTAACATGGTCTTGATTGTCTTCTAATCTCCCTCTATTTAGTAGCCCAGATAAACTCCCCTCCCCACGCACCTGCCATCAGACAGCTGTCTCCAAGCCAATAGCACTTTTATGTTTTTATTGCCCTGTTTGGTATAAATGGCAGGGAAATTACTCACGGAACTCCCAAGGTCATGAGAGACAGGGTGGGGTAACTCTGGGTCAGGCACCTTCCCCAGTAAGCGTGAACATGCGTCTTATCTCAGGGTTGGAAGGAGGATTAACGTAGCCGACTTGTCTCCTGCTCCCGTCTCCCCTTTTCCTTGATTCACCAGCACTGGCAGAAGCTCTGATCAACGCGCAGTGTCTTGTGCTGAGTTCAGGGAAGGGTGAAACAGTATTTTAGAGCAGTAACGACACTTGCTGAGTGTCTTTTTGTTGAGTTAGCAGAATGGGAGGCAGCCCTCAGCTCCTGGGAAGTGCATATACGGGAGAGCTCCCTGGCAAGGTCACTCATTCAGTATTCTGTAAATTTGGCTTCTCTGTTGGCTGGTAGAGAGCGGATACAAAGCTTAGACTTTGGCCAGGCCAAAGTGGACTTAACAACTCCCAGTTGAATCCTGAGCTCTGCCAGTGAAGCCCTCCTGGCTGCTAAACAAGGTCACTAGTTTCGCAGCACATATTTCCATGGAAATGGAAAGCGGAATGCGACATGGCAGGGGAAGCCATGAGACAAGAGCATGGAGGGAGGGAGGGGCCGGCCCTTGCTTGGACCTCGTGCACACATAGCCCTTGGGGAGCTGCAGGCCAGGGGAGGAAGGCAGGGGGTCTGAGGCACGAGGCACTTGCAGGCACAGGCTGCCCTTCCCTTCCCAGACCTTTCTGAGGTGGCAGCTGGAGGTCAAACAGCAGTATCAGCTGGGACTGCAGTTCATTTGAAATCGGGTTGCACCTAATCCTAAATCAAGAATGGCGTTTTTCTGGCTGCTTCCCTGTATGAGTTTTCACTGCCGCAGCTGTGGCGACTTCGTTTCCCCTGTCTCCAGTAACTCATAATCTCCCCTCTGCCCCACAGTTGGTGTCAGTAGCTGCTACGTGTCTGTCCAAGAGTGTCTGATAGTTAATAGCTCACGTGCCTGCACTTGCTGGTAGCACTGCTGATACCACTGACGTGGGGAAAAAGCATTTCCAGGATGGACTTGGACTCTGCTCCAAGGAGCTCCACAAAACGGTCCCAACCAACCTGAGTGAGGTTGAGGGGCAGCAGGCTCTTAGGCACCCTGTCTCTCTAAGCAGCACTGTTTTGTGACTGCTGCTGGCTCACACCAACCTCCTGTCTTTGTTTGCCTTGCAGGTTCATGGAACAGCATCCAGAAATGGACTTTTCCAAGGCTAAATTCAACTGAGCCCTCCCTTTCTCCCCCTCCTTTTTCAGTCAGCCCGTTGAATGGGGCAGGGTGTGTATGGCAGGACATGTAGGGATCCCTTATCCTGGGCGAGTAAGCATCCCCACGCGAGCTTGCAGCGGAGGCGGCTCTGTAAAGTCGTCCTCTCTTGTCCCATGTTGAGCAGACCACAAGGCCACAGTCGGCCTGCAGCAGCGGGTCAGTCGGAGCCGCCTGTGACACTTCCCATACAGCAGTTAGGAGAGAAGGAGCCAGGCTCGGGAGGTTTTGGAACATATCTTTAATATACTGCTTAGTTTAATTTCCTGAGTCTTTAGAGCTGTTAATCCCCTCTTGGCATTTCAGTCCTGGCAGGAGGTACTCTTGAATTTTACTCCTTTTCCCCCTGGCTTTCCTGCCATCCCATGGAAACAGAGGCTGCTTATTTTGTAAAAGGTACTTAGTGCATTGCTCTGCTTCTGCCTCCTTGGGCCTTGGAAAGGAAACACAGGGGTGAGAAGGAGCTACAGCTCTGCAGAAAGACACTACTCCTCCTCTCAGTCAATCTGTTTCATACAGCAGACGCCAGGAACTGAATGGGGAAGCACAAAACTCCTTCCCCTCTCCTCCCTGGTAATTGTTCAGGGGTAAATCACATCCAAACAGGGGGTTAGCAGCCAAGCTGCACTCAGGTGCCTTCCTTCTTTGCTGCTGGTGTACTTTCCAGAGGGGGAACAGAGCAAGCTTGGCAGGGTTGTGGGTGGATGGGTTGACCTGCTGCCTCAGGGAAGGGGATGACTGGAGAGCTTGTGGTCAAGGACAGGGTGAAGGGAGGCTTGGAGGGCCCCCTTTCCCACTGGGAATGCATCTCCTGCCTCTTTGCAAAGAGCCTCTCTCCCTGCTGACCACTGACGGGCGGCGCTGCGTTCCTGGAGCTCCTGCTGGTGAGCAGCATCACTCTGCATGTTCGTATCCTTGTTAAAACTGCAGCGCAACATAAAGAGAGAGCGAGCGGCTTATTCCAGGGTGAATGTGTGATTCCTCCTGCAGGAGAGATGGGAGAGATGTGCAGGTGTGGATGGGACCTGGAAAGGGGTAGTGGCTGTGCATGACAGGACTTGGGGCTGCTGTAGTCTTGGGCTCCCTCTGTGCCCAAATGCTCTCCGGCCGAGCTGGCAGCTAGGGCCAAGTGTCCCTTGATCAGAAATGCTCACGGACTCCGACCCAAAGCTCACACGGAGCCTTGGTTGGCAACGCGCGAGGCCTGTCACGCCAGACTCTGCTCCCCACGGAGCAGCGTGTGACTAACGTGAGGAAGCCGCCCTTGCCCCAGCTCTGCTTCCTGGTAAGCTAACACGGAAGAGTCCCTGTGTGTGATGGTAGCCGAGGCCCGGACTCCCGCTCGTCCTTCACCTGCCCCAGTGTTCCCAGGGAGGTCGGCACGAGGCTCCTGTCTCTCCAGCCTCCCTTGCAGCCCAGCAGCCGTGAGCAGACGGAGAAAAGGCCGTCACAGCAAACTAGGGGGGCAGATATTTGCAGGGGAGGAAGTGTTTGGAGCACGATGAGGAAGGAGGAAGGCACCAGCCCTCCAGGCGGGACCGTCCCCGCTTGCAGCCCTCGCGGTGAGCAGGTGAAGGGCCGGGGCTGTGTTTGTGAACGGCAGCCGTCCCGCTGGACTTCGCCCCGTGCGGCCAGCGGAACAGAAGGTGTTGCTCCTGCCGGCCTTGGCCCGGGCGAAGCACCCCGCTGCCGTTGACTTCCCCGCGGCCGCCCTCTGGCTCCCGCGCAGCCTCCGCCGGGACAGGCCCGGGCCTTTCTGGCCGCAGCTGCTGCAAACGCGCCCGTTTGCAAACGGAGCGCGACGGCACGGGGCTGCAGACGAGGGGCGGCGGGCGCCGGGGCTCCGGGGCGGCGGGGGCTTCCAGCCGCCGCGAGAGGCCGCTCCGGTGCTGCCCCCGCGCGGAGCCGCGGCCGCAGCGCCTCCCC